TAGATTCAGCCACCTCTGAAAAAAATTTATGAGTGCATGAGGCTTTTGGGAGACTTCTAGACACAAACCATAACAGAGTTCAAGTTCATCTGTCCACCTACACCCCATCTGCCTGGCTTAATCCCTGGGTTCCATGGGAGCCGTGTTTTTTTTTTTTTTTTTTTTTTTTTTTTTGGTCTTTTTGACCAAAAAAAGGGTCTCCCTATGCAGTTTAGGCTGGCCTTGAGCTCACCTGTAGCCCAGGCTGGTCTTGAACTCTCAAAGATCCTCCTGCCTCAGTCTCCCAAGTGCTGGGATTACAGGCGTGCGCCACCACACCCTGCTCATGAGGCTGTATGCTGGGGCCTCACATGGCCTTCCCCTGCCATCTTCCTGAGGGCTAACAAGTGCTGTCCTCCAGCTGCTCTGACAGCTGTATGTAGGTACCAGCAAAATGAGGACTGCAAGGGCCCAACCTAGGCAACTAGGCTTTGAGGACAGGCAGCCTGTGCCCTGGGTCCCTGCTCCCCTGGGAGTGCTGGACACACTGTGTGACCTCCCTCCAGGAACTAAGTCTCCTTTGCCCTTTAAAAATGCCTGAGGAGCTCAGGAGAGCAGCAGGCTCACTCATGTCCTAGATTAGCTGTGGCTCTCCCTTGGGTAGGAAAGCACTGCAGGATGGGCAGGGAGGAGGCACTGGCCCAGATGGGTGTGGATCACACATCTATGGTCCAGGGGAGTAAGTGACCCCACCCAGGCAGGTCGAGAGGCTCCCAGACTGCTGTGGATCTGACTGTGTTATGCCCTCTTCCTGGGCATCACGGGGACACAGAAGGCTTGACCAGTCAGCCCCAGGCCCCAGGGGAGGCCAGCAGCATGTGCCATGGTTCTGGGGCCCTCTGTGCTGAGAATAACCAGTTAGGACTGGGGCGGCTTGGGACAAGTGCTGTGGATCCTGGACAGGTACGGAGCGAAGGCTGTCCCTTCTGCAAGGACCAGCAAATACATTAGTGTCAAAATGCCCTGCCACCACTATGCCAACCTACAGGGGAACCCTGGGCTTTGGAGCAGGAACTGGGCTGGCAGACTCTATGCTACCCAAGTAGGCAAAGAGAGGTTCCTGGGCTGAATGGTCCCCAGACTGAGGAACTATCTTAGTTACTGAGATAGTAAAGGAGAAGAGGTTTAGCTCACAGTTTGTAGAGGTTTCAGTCCATAATCAGCTGACTCCAAGGCAGGGTGGCATGGCAGGAGGGCATTGCAGGGGAGAAAAGCCCATACCTGTAATCCCAGCACTTGGGAGGCGGAAGCAGGAGGACTTCAGAGAGTTGGAGGCCATCCTGGGCTACAGAGTGAGTTCAAGGCCTGCCTGAACTATAGCGAGACCCTGTCTCAAAAAACAAACTGGACAACTCCCCAAATAAATACATAAAACAAGCGCTTATAGTGTCTGGAGTGGCTGAGCAGGAAAACCAGGGTCTCAGTGGGCTGTGTCACCTTGAGGGTGTGCCAGGCTGAGGGGACAGGAAGCCTTACTTCCTTCCACATTCGCCCCTGTTAGGGGCCACTTGGTATTGTTGTGATATAACCACTACATCCTTCAAGTGGGTGACCCAGGGTCAGCCTGCAGTGGCATCCCTGAAATGCCCCTGCAGCCAGGTACCCTGGGGTCCATTTAGTCATGCTTGGCCTCAGGGAGGCTACCCCCCATCTCAGGCAGCCTTCTGGGTTCCTGTCTTCTCTCAATACCCTGTGTAGGCTGGCATCTGGCCCCATGGCTTCCTGTGCCCAGAAGAGGCTTCCTGCTGCTCTGGTGTCCAGCCCAACCCAGTGCTTGGACCACATAGATCAGATGAGTAATGGACCTGCAGAAAGTGTCCCTGGCCCCAGCCCAGCTGGAGCTTGTCCCTCCCTTGGCCTCTGCTATAGCCCACTCTCTAGCCAGAGGCTGGGTGGAGCCTCCAGCACCTCCCCAGTGGTCAACCTTGGGTCTTATTGCTGCTCAGCTCTGGCCAGGCCTCATCCATGGCTTGGGACATCATTCAGGTGTCCCCTGCTTGGATGGGTGTCCCTGGGGGTCTGCCTGCCCCAGCCTGCCTGTGCATTCTCACCACACCCTGCTGGCCTGTGGTCCCAGAGCTGACACACATGTTCCTGACTCCCCTGCTGCTGTGGCCAAGGCTCCACATACCTCAGCCATCCATCTCTGGTTATCTGCACCCTGTTGTGTCCATGTTGCAGCCCATGTGATTTCAGCCTTGAACACGAGAACCAGGGAGGCAGGGGTCACAACCCTCCTGCCCTTGGCAAGGGCAGTTCTCCTAGAGTGGCCTGGGCCTTCCCCAGGCCAGATCAAGGGTGTGAGGATAGCGGCCAGGCTGTGGTATGTCGGATGGTAGAGTTAGCTGGGCTGTCTGCCAAGTCTCAGTCCGGTGGGGGAAGCAGCTTTGCCCAGTCTTCCTGCTGGCCGGGACCGCAGCCCCCTCTCTGTGACTCAGCACTGACAGTGCAGAGGAACCTGCAGAGGCCAGGGGTGTGCACTTCTGATGGCAGTGACAACAGCGGGCCCAGCCCCAGCTTAGCAAGAGGCCACATAGGCCCCTTAGTTCCCCCAACCTCAATTTCCTCATTTTTTACGCCGAGAGTAGTGGATCTTCTGGTCTCAAGAGGGCTTAGCTACCATGTGAGAAGACCTTCTCTAAACTACTCATTTCATTGTTTTAAAAATCTTTCAGTATATTTGCTACTCAGTTTCATTTATACTATTTTTGGTTTATGTCTTATACTCGGAGTAACTACTTTGAAGATAATGATACACACGGTAATAACTATTGTAATTCGCTAATTATATGACTACAAAATTTTGTTTTATTTTTTCATAAAAACATTTTTTAAAAACAGTGTGATAATGCCACCTGTCCCCCACAGCCCTGCTTCTTCTAGGCTGCCACCTGTGTAGTAGACAGGATAGCAGAGGAAGGTGGACACCAGGATAAGAGGCCTGGGAGGAGCCCACTTCCACCTCGCAGGGAGTGCTCTGTCTTGCTGTGTCCTTGCCCTGGTCTGCCTCTTGTCCTGACCTCCCTGGGAAGTGGCCGAGGCTGTAGCTGCTATTAGGCTCTCTGGCTTCTTCTGGAAAAGACCAGTCCCACCTGTCCTTCCTGGGTGCTGTCTTTTCTACCAGAGTCATATCCTGCATCCCCTTGCCCCTATCTAGCCTGACCCATCCTACTGGCCTGTTCGTAGGCCCACTCGGCTGCCCATCCAGCCTAGCACACGTCAGGGGCAGGTGAGGGACATCTCCTCTGAGCTCCACCTGACCTGCACCTCTATCCCCATCTGTAATGTACAAGTGACATCATCATCCCCTGGGGTACTCTGGCCTGACATCACAGGCCCTGCCTCCAGATCCGCCTTTGCCCAGGACCCAGCAGGGAATTGCCTGTCTATGCCTACCCCACCTTCTTTCCAGAGGGGCCTCAGGCCCCAGAGAGTGGGTGGCACCAGCCTTACAGAGCGTCTTTCATTTCTCAGCTCACCCTCTGCCCAAAGAAGTGTAGGGCAGGGATGTGGCATCTCGGGACAGCACTCTCCAGGCGGTGTTGGAGGGGATCTTGGGATGCAGGGGGTGCCAAATGGGAGGGGGGTTGGGGAAGTGTGGCCTTACTCTGGGCCAGGTTGTTCCCAGCTGAGGGCACTGTGATTAGAACTCTGGTTATGGGGTACCACAGCTTCTGGACCTGGACTGTGCTCTTGTCCCTGGAGCACCAGGGCACATGCCTAGCTGCAGAAATGACCATGGCCACTGTGATGCTGAGGTCTCCTGGCACCCAGCTCCAGGCATGTGGCTGTCACAACTAAATGTCTCTAGCTGGGGCTTAACACGGATACTTCTTTTTCTCAGATCTGAAGTGAGACATCCAAGATCAGGATCCCAGCGGGCTGACTTCTGGGCCTCCCTCCTCAGCTTGCAGGTGGTCCCTTCTTGTGTCCTCACATGGCTTTCTGCATGCCTGGTGTCCCTTTCTTAAGGACACTGGACCTATATAGGTGGGGCCTCACACTTACTACCTCATTTAACTGTAATTACCCCCTTCAAATCCTTATCTCCAAGTACAATTTGATTGGTAGCTAGGGCTTCCACACACGAATTTTGGGAGGACACAATTCAGTCCATAGTACAGGGGTTCTTATACATCCCCACTCTACAGATGAGGGAATTGAGGCATAGGGAGCCAGCATGCAGACATAGCAAGACCCAGTTCCCTTCTGGGTGGTCCAGCTGATGCTCCTCCTTTCAGCACCAAGTCCAGGCAGGGCCCCCTCAAGAGCCCCACCCTATTTTTGTGGCTGTCAGAGGGGCAAACTCCCCTTGCCACCCTCAGAGGTGTGACTGGTACAGGTGTGACTGGAACAGGAGCTGAGGCAGGGGCGTGTACATCTTTGTGGGTGCGTCTGGCCCAGGAGCTGCCCTCTGCGCGGCTCAACCCCTGCAGGGTTTGGCACTGCTGGTGGGTTGGCGAAGCCCGGGCGCCCAGTCCCCAAATACTACCCAGGGTGCCAGCCGCCCCCAGTCCGGAGCCCAGCCCTCGGGTTGTCCCGCGACACAGTGTCGGGGGTGCGGGGGCGCCCTGGGACCGTCTGGGGATCACGTGGCGGCCCCTTCTCCCCTGTCCCTTTTCCCTTGGCAGCTGCGCAAAACATAGGGTGAGCAGAAGCCGGAACCTGGCGTCGGGGCTCCAGTTTCTGGCCGGTGGGACTTGAGCTCCGGGCAGAGTGCACCCGGACAGCCGATGACTAACTGAGATCGCTAGGGCAACGAGGGCCGCCGGAAGCAGCTGGGCTGGTAATAAAGAGAGGCGCGGGTGCACGGCGGGTCCCTAGGGTCGCCCTGGTCGCCATTCCTCGGAAGACTCGAAACCCTCCCCTACCAGACTCCTCTTGCTGTCGGGGCACTTGGGGACGTGGCCGACCCTAGCGAAGCCTGCCCTGAAAGTGGGAGCGGTGAGTGGCGCGGCTACTGGTCGAGTGCGCGTCTGATGTTTACCTTTTCCGTGGCCTGCGGAGAGCTGCGGAAGGAGCATCCTGCGAACTTCCCGGTGCCTTTTCTCGAGCCCACAACGCGTTAGCCTGTTATATAGCTGCCATTTATCCAAACGAGGAATCCACACTAGAATACCACGATCTACGATGCAGGATTTGCTGAAATGTGTGTTGCGCATACTTTTTTTTCCCCCTTTACCAGTGATTGCAGAGGGCTTCGCGCATGGTAGGGAAGCTCTCCACCACTGAGCTACACCCCGAGCCATTTTTATTGTTTTGAGGCAGGGTCTCCGGTTGCCTAGGATGGCTGGTCTCGAAATTGTGATCCTCCTGCGTCAGCCTCCCGAGTAGCTGGGATTATAGAAATGCACCACCATGCTTGGCTTTTATGTGTTCTTATTGTTTCTCAGCGTAGACTAGCACCCCATTTCCTCTTTGACTTTTATGAGGTAGTTAGGATTTGTCTGGTGTTATCCCATGACTAATTTCAAGTTATGCATTTTTGGCAAGACAACTTCCAAAAGGAAATAGTATCTGCAATGCTTCCTAGAAAATACATGATGCCAATTTGTCCCATTACTGGTGAGGATAATTTTGATGGTTTAAGTGACAATCTGCCAAGTATCTATCATAAAGTTACTATTTTCCCCTTTGTAAACAATAAATACCTTTGGGAAGATACTTTGAAACTGTGTAAATATTCTGCTATAGCCATACTTTCTGTCACCAATTTTAGCCCCCTTTCTTTCTTTCTTTTTTAAATTTTTGTTTTTTGAGGTAGGATCTTGTTATGTAGCTCAGGTTGGCCTTGAACTCAAAGTGATCCTGCTGCCTCAGCCTCCCAAGTGCTGGGATTACAGGTGTGTGCCACTACGCCTGGTGCATGTGTTTCTTGAAATTTTTTTTTTTCATTTAATTTCACATTTTTCTCATTACATTGCCCAAGGAAAGGAAGAAGTCATGAGTTACTAAATGCACTATTTTGCCATTCAGGCAGAATTTAGGATCTATTTTACAGTTGTTTTTGTTTCAGAGCTGAATCAGAGTGGAGTAGGTCTGACTGCTGCTGCTGTTGGGGAGGAGGGTGAGAGTTCCTGGCAGAACAGCAGAAAGCTGTCACCACGAGACTTCCTGTCTGGGTGCCTGAGGGTCCTCCAGAAAGATCAAGGTTGGAGGGAACTTCAGCAGCTTCTGTAAGGAAATGGGGATGGCACAGGCCTGGAGCTAGTTCTGGGGAGGCAGGAGGTCTCTGTCCTTCCATCTACATCCCAGGATCCCCTGTTGGGCCACTCATATAGACAAGGCAAGCCTGCTCCTCAACTTTGCAAATTTATCAGAATCTGGAAACATTTTTACCTTTTGGCTTGAGACACTGGAGCTATGCACTAACTATAATTCTTTCTCACCCTAAGAAAGTCACATTGAAGAAATTTCTATTCCTGCTGGGCATGGTGGCACATGCCTGTAATCCCAGCCCTCAGGAGGCTGAGGCAGGAGGATCTCTGTGAGTTTGAGGCCAGCCTAGGGTGTATGGTGAGTTCAAGACCAGCCTGAAATGCATAATGAGATCTGTCTCAAAAGAAAAAAAATTCCATTCCTATGGGAAACTACAGATTTTCTAGTCACTCCATGGTTTAATTAATTGCTCTGAGGGCTTTTCTGTTTGTTTTTTAGTGCTGGGATTTAATCTAGGGCTTACACCTGCTAGGCAAGTGCTCTGCCACTGAACTACATCCTCTGCCCCTTTTCTGACTTCTTTTCCTTCTTTAGAAATTAGATGCTTGAGGAGCCTTCTCCATTTTTATTACTGCATTTTTTCCTTTCACTGAAGCCATGGGGCCTCAGCCAGTGCTGGCACAGGATAGCACTTATGCTGCTCTAATGGAGCCCAGAGAGTCAGGAGATGCCTGAGTGTACAAATATGTTCACTCCTGTCTGCTTCTGGCAGCTTCAGACCTGAAATAATTACCACTGTGGTATTTGCCAAATGGTTTTTCTATTTCTATTATTCCTACATTTATTAGTTGGAACTCTGCTATAAGAGCCTTCCCTTTCAATTTTTCTATTTATTCATTTTTTAAAAATTTATTTAAAGGAGGAAAGGTTTATTTAGCTCACAGTTTGTAGAGGTTTAGTCCATAATCAGCTGGCTCCCAGGCAGGGTGGCACATGGCAGAGGGGCAACAGTTCATGGCAGCAGAACATAGCTGTTGTAATCAGGGTTTGCAAGGGAAACAATTTAATACAGGGCACATAATTTGTAGTATTGTAATTTGGGTAGTCATCCAAAGAGTCAAGTATGAAAGAGTGCAGGAAAGACCCAAAGAATCCAGCTGAAGGCCTAGATCTCATGGCAATGTCCTGCATGAGTCTAGCTGAAGACCTAGAGCCCATAACAATATCCCACATGAGTCCAACTGGAGGCCAAGAGCCCACAACAATGTTTCATGCAAGCCTGTTTCAAGGATCTGTGCTGGGAACACCCCAAGGTCAGTGGTAGAAGCTAGAAAGTCTGTGCCAGCAGGATGAAAGATCTGTGCCAGTAGGCTGAGGAATCTGCAGTGGAACCAGGAAGTAACAGTCAAAATAAGGACCAGAGCTCTCCCAAAGTGAACCACAGCCATTCTCAGCAACAATAAGGTCCCAAGCTCTTTCAAAGATGAGAACAGCTCAGTTCATATCAGGAAAGCCAGTATGACAAGCTCCTCCAGGAGAACCAATAGGCCCCAAACCTCTTCCTCTATAGTTCTCCTTTTTATGTTGTTGGCAACAGTCCTTGGTGGGCCTTTCATACCCAGCACCACACTGATTCAGTTCAGCTAGGTGTTACAAGATGACCACCAGTTGTCAATCCACCACAATAGCAAAAGCAACAAGAGGAAAAAAGGGGGGGAAACAAGCCTCTTTCTGCCCCTTTTATCTTATCTAGGCTGCTGGGATTAGGGTGGTACCAATCCAGTCAGTGGACTGATCTGGCAATCACTCACCCTTAATCCCAGCATACTTAATCCCAACATTGCACTACAAATCAGTCACAACCTCTAGATTCAACCACCGCAGAAAAAGCCTGCCCCCTCATGACTGCATAAGGCTATAGGGGGACATCTAGATACAAACCATAACATTCTGCCCCTGCCCACCCCCTGCAAAGACTCATGTACATTTCTTTACACAAAAGATATTTAGTCCATCTCTAAGAGTTGCCAAAATCCTAACAGTTTAGGCATTGCTGAAAAGTCCAAGTCAAAAAGCTCTGGGGCTGGGGATTTAGCTCAGCGGCAAAGCGCCTGCCTGGCAAGCGCAAGGTCGTGAGTTCGGTTCCCGGTACCGGAGAAAAACCAAAAAAAAAAAAAAAAAAAATGTCAGCTCTGAGGGCCGGGATGTAGCTCAGCAGCACAAGCACCTGCCTGCCAAGCATGAGGTCCTGAGTTTGATTCCTGGTACCAAAAAAAAGTCAACTCTGAGATTTAAGGCAAACTTAGCTGTGAGCCCTATATAAAAGAAAAGAAAGTTAAACACTTCCAACATTCAGTGGCACAGGGTAGACACTTCCATTCCAAATGTTATAAACAGGGATATAAAGGAATGGGACTAAAGTAAGTCAAAAATCCAGGAGGCAAAACATCTGAGGCAGTTTGTGGCAAAATTTAAACTCCAAAGGGCTTGGGTGGCTCCACCCCAAAGGCACTGCTGATTTTTCTCTTGGGCCTGCTTCTCCCTCCTTGTAGTTTTCCTTAGAGAATCCACGTTCCTGGCTTCTCCAAATTTGTAGGGTCTTTGTGCTCCTTTGGCTTCATATAGCTTCACACACTGCCTTTTCAGGGGCACACTGCCTGGCTTCCCAAGCCTGCTGAAATCTGTGGAAGTCTCTCTGACCCCACAACTCTTCCATTCCTCATGTGCCTAAAACCAGTGCCATGTGCATAATCCTAAGGTCTACTGACAGCTGGACAGTGGCCAGGCTTCCCTCTCTCTTGGCTGTAGGGGTTGAGTGCCAGGATCGCTGAGCACTCTGAATCCAGTTCTGAGGAACAAATTCTCTATGCTGCAGTCACTCTGGAACATGGTGCTCCATGGCTTTCTTCTCAAAGTCTTTTACTTTTGTAATTTTGAGGCTGCAAAGGGTGGAGACTTGCTGCTTCTTGTGCTGCTCTCAGGCTGTCTTTTCTAGTCTCCTGTTCCTTCTCAGCAATCACTTTGTCCTATCTTTGCAGTCCACAGCTTTACTGGAGCTTCCTTTCTAGCCAAACTCACTACATTTTAAATCATTCGGCTGAGCTCTTTGCTCTTGATTCATAACATAAATCTGGCTAAAAGTTCCCAACAATAGCCATGCCACTGCCTCAACATTAGACTGGCTTGAAATTTCTTCTACCAGATTAAGGAGTCCACTGCCTTTAATCTCAGTCTCAGGCAAAGTCTCTGGACACGAGCAAAATGCAGAAAAACTTTCTGCCAGTACATAACACACATCCCTTGGAGTCCAACAGCCAATACAGTCCTTCATCCCAGCAGAAACCTCCCAAGCCTGGTCTTTACAGCTTTCTAGTCTTCTGAGCGCTGACCAGAATCTCCCATACAGAACAGCCTAAGCGTTCCAGCTGTACTTTTTCAGCAGCACTGCCAAACTTTTCCAAGCTCTTCCCACTAGCCATTTCCAAAGACTCCTGAACCACATGGTTAGATATAGTCACAGCAATGAGCCCACTTTGCTGGTACCAAATTCTGTTTTAGTTACTTTCCTCATTGCTGGGACAAAATACCCAACACCCAAAGTTAAAGGAGGAAAAGTTTATTTAGCTTATAGTTTGTAGAGGTTTTAGTCCATAATCAGCTGGCTCCAAAGCAGGGTAGAGGAGCATATGGCAGAGAGGCAACAGTTTATGGCAGCAAAAGACAGCAAAAGCAACTAGAGCAAAAAGGGGGCTATTCACTTATTTTTGGTGTTAGTATAGATATTTTTATTTGTTTTTCATGGAGTAATCCATTGCTGCCCTATATTTTGTTGCTTGCGTTGTCCATTATGCTCCCTGTCACAACAGCTTTTGTGAATTTTGGAGCACTCCCTTGCTCTGGCACCACAGCATGTCTTTGATGTGTCTTGTGCTCTCCTTGACAAGCCCAGAACCAGTCACTTCTCAAAGGAACCCTAGCCCTGACCAGTTA